GCATGATAATTTTAGAATAATTGTACTTAATTTACGAGTGCAAGCAAAGTGTTGTACTTGTAAATGTGTAACGAGAATTATTGCTATATCTTGTATTTTGCACAGTCTTTTATGAGGAAGTATCCGCGCTTTCAGTTCTCTAGTCAAATGATGTATGGGCAGCAACGCGCGGAAGTTAAATATGCATTGTTTATATATATATATTGTCTATAGTTTGCTATAGAATATCTAGCAAATATATAAAATTAACAAGTGTTCACCGTTAATAAAGTTACTAGTTTATATTCATGCGTAACTTTGATGCATATCGAATCGTATGAATTTTTTCGCATGCGATAGCTCTTTCGAGCAGTTTATACAGGTAACAAGACAGACACGTTTCACGCTCATTAACACCAACGATGGATGCTACAGCGAAACTACGTATAGAGAGAATCGTTGGGACGTTTGACCTCGTGTTCTACTGCTCTATGGGCCTCCATGTTTGAAGTTTTACGACCGGTATCGCCGTCAGACATTCCATTGGACAGACGCCTGACTCCCAGAGGCGTGCCTACGCGAGGTTTCGAACCTAAACCACAAGGTGTCCCTAGGATCAGCAGGCAAATACGTTACTTACTAAGCTATCACGGACCCTATGGGCGTGTTGCTGCTGCTGCAACCGCTGTCCGAACCGAGGCCGAGGGACGGGGTGGTCCAACAGACAGGATAGCCTACGTCGCAATGTTGCTTGAGATGTAGAGGTGACGGTCAGTTGTAGCCGACAGGAGAAGTCGGTCGCCGGGTGCGTAGGCTGAGGTAGCAGGACGACATTGATCGGGGACCGGCGGGCAAGTGCATGGGTTAGGCCAAATGCTGAGTCTGCGGATGTGTGCGTAAGGGAGTGGCTAGCGGCCAGGCGAACCTGGGGTTCTTCTTTTTTCGCAACCGCTGCCTGCTCCCTGGAAATATCAGCGGTATCACCACTACCCGCCTAGCTGACAGCTAGGCCCGGTGGTCTAGTGCCAAGAACCTGCAACGGCAGTGCAGGAAGAACTACGATGACTAGGGAGGATGAGGCGGGGATGGACGCTATCATGAAGGCATTCTGTATGTATCATGAGGCAGATTGCACGGTAAGTTTTATCGAGTTCACCTATTTGGTCAATAATTGTAGTAGTTATATAAAGTACCGATATGCAAGTCTCTATGGTCCGCTAAGTTATTATTTATTTCTAGCATCGAACCTAGCGGCAATGGACATTTTGTCTGCATCGTATCGTTACAATCTTCACGCACAGTAGTCTCAAATGGTGTTGGTTATATGTAGAAGACTACTGGAATTATGGTAATTAATTTTATGAGACGATAATGTACACGAATCACTGCAATTAGCCATACTCATTCGATCCTAGTTGTGTGTAAAAATGCCCTTGCAGATGCCCCATAGTTCCGAATCGTTCGTATCGAAGTCGAAGTAAATACACGTCTAGTAATTTCGCATGTTTGCTTCAACATCGAAGGTTTTCTTCCCGACGATGGACAATCTACAATTCTCGCTTGAAGAACAGAGTTAATTTTCAAGCACAAACCATGTCTTATTGCATCACACGTTTTCAATACGTTTCTGGCCTCACGTATCAATTCGTTTAGTGTTGATCTATTTCACTTCATAAATGCGGACAAACTAAAGTCTTACGATTATTAGTAAACATCTAATGGGCCAGCGCTACTGCATATTCACGTATGCGGTTTTCGTCGTTTGGCTTTTCCGTTTCCCCCGGTGTTCCATGTCAGCCAGATATTATGATATCTGGTATCTCTAGATGCCCTTACCTCCTGAAGCGGATCATAGTGTCATCAAGTGAGGGGTTGATTTCCCTTTGTTAGCTCGACGACGTTCGTCTATTTCCTGTTCCCCTTCTATTCGATTCCTCTTATTTCAACAGCCCTTCTTGATGCCAGTCTGCTGACTTAAGCAGTCTCACTCTTACAGCATCCCTCCTCGACTCAATGTGGCGCTGTTTCACTATGCCGCCGTCGCTGCCGTTTCTCAAAGTCTAAGCGTTTGTAAACGTCCATCACCTTCTAGACAAAGCGAACGTACTGCTAGGTTATCGTGATCTGCGATTTGGCCTGCTCTCAGCTAAGTCACATCCAATGCCATCGTCGATCAGGGCATAGCAAAACTGGGGCAACCTCAGTTGTCATCATCGAAGGGCGAAAAGAGAACAGCGTCTGAAAAACAGACAGGCAAAACGATTGCAGAACAGTTCGGGTTGCCCGAAACCGCTGACGATACCTTCTAACACTTCACCCCGTTTACAAAAGAGAAACTGGGAGTTGTCTAGTTCGAAAAGCGGAGCGTTCCGATAGCGAAATGACGCTCAGGACGTTGCTTGTCCTGGCCAAATAATATATGCGATATCATCCTGCTATTGCTTTCCTTCGTTATGGATTTTGATGTGGTTGATTTAAACGGACCTAGGCCTAAATGTCGGCCCGTAGTGAGCATTTGCAATCTTTTATGTTAAATAGATGTTCAACATGATGGTCACTGCATGAAGAGTCAACAGGTCGTTACAATTGGTATATACTAAATAGTTTTTAGACATGAGGAGCTGATGGCGAAGGTGGCAGCCTTGAATGTTGGCTCAGAGCGGTCCATATCTTCGCAAAAACAGAGAGTGTTCGTTAAAGCTTTGGATGGCAGCGACGATTACAAAGCGACTCAGGGAACCCATGAAACATGGCGCTAAATGTATCGAGCTCGCAGCCACTGATGCTTGTCCACCTGGCATCAAATGAAAATACGGCTGTAAAGAGATTGCCACCTTCCGTGGACAGACTTACTCCCATTATTCAGTACAAACAGTATATTGTGGATCGTCGTATTGAAACTCCTTCATTAGTGATTTGTGTGGTCTACACGGTTGACTGAGCTAAAACGTGACAACTTCATGAAGTTCAACTTTAAACTAAAAATTAGTGCCGGTTTGTTACAGCTGTTTCAGAGAACTTGTGCTGCTTATGGCTACTCAGAGGCGGTCGAGCGAGATGATGTAATTACGTAGATTTCCTGACTGCTATGATTTGCGAAGATACGCGCTTTTGTCAAAAAGTGAAGCCAACTGACTGACAAACCTAATCTGAAGGGCTGAAAAAAGTTATGGCGTGCAAAAGTCGAAGAGCTAATTTTATATTGCGACACGTTTGTACATCGAAGTGCCTCTGTATTTCTCGTCTGACCACATGCGGCTAGGGAGGAACTATTCAGTAGCAATAACTACACTTAGTCCATAAAATGTATTACTATTTTATTGTGTATCATTTGTAACTTAAGATATTTACAGACGGTAAGAAACCGGGAATTTTAATGCCCCCGTATGTTCTAATCAGGACTTCCGCAATGAAAAGGCTATCGATTTGTTACGTTTATTTTGAGGTATCTTAAAAACGTAGCAAGTCCTACAAATACCTGCAATACTTATAAGTTATAATAAATGTATAGGGTGCCTACAAGGTCATAGATTTACAATGTGGACTATGAAGCAACCAAACGTGAAAAATTATCCCAATTGAAAGCCCACGTATTCATATGATGTATGCCTTGTATTTTGATGTGGGGTCCTACTGAAGAAGTGTACGATTTCCTTAAAGTGTCTTCAGACCCTGGCCATTAAAGTTGCAGCAATATGAAGCCACCGTAGTACAAGCAGCAATTGCACAAACGGCCATATCGAAGTTAGTTGGTAACAATCTGGATAAAAATGAGCCTAGATTAGATCATCATTCGGTTCCTCTCCCCTCTCTGCCTTCTTTCCCTTTTTCTTTCTCTGTCAATGTGTTCCGTGACCGGGTAAAGTAATGATAAAAGCGCGGTCGACCTCATCGCTTGCTTTGTTCTGACTCACTTGTTCGAGCCGTCTATGGCTACCCTGTTCTCTATAGCGACCCGCTTGCTTCCTCCTTTTACCCCTTATTTCCCCGGTTCTTAGTCGCCGGTCGCTCGTGGGTTGCCTCTCTGGTCAGGGATCCTTTCTTTCCTTAGCCACGTCTACGGAGACAGAGAAATGGGTCCATGCGATAAAGGGAAAGTAGTACTAGTAGTCCTAGGGCGAAAGGAAATGCGTGATTCGAAATCCGGAAACTGAAACACTTCGTCGTTCTCGTTTTCTCCTACCCCTACTCTCCGCCAGTTCTATCCCCCTTACTGTTGCTTCCACTCGGTCTCCAGCTAGCTGCCGTTGTAGCTGTTGTCGACGATCCTCGCTTGCACGTGTGCGCTCTACTCTCCTCGGTGGATCGCCTTCAAACCTCTATTTCAGCGAAGCTAACGTCGGCACGTCGGCGTCGGAAGTCAAAAGGACGAGCGGCTGGCTAGCAGGCTGGCTGGCTGGCTGGCTGGAAGGCACCATGCAGAAGCAGCAGGCCGCGTTTGTGATAACCGTCCCCCATAGCCGTGCTGAAGGAAGCAAGGGAGCAGCCTGATCTTACAAGCAGGAAGGCAGTGCAGCTCGGGCAACGCCTGCTGTCATCTCGGTCTCTCTATTGGCAACGTTCCAGCCGTCCCTTCCCCCTCCCGCCCTCGCTTCGCCTCGCCTCACCTCTATCGTGGTCACCGATATTGTGGTGTTACAATTGAAGAGTACAGGGAAGCAAAATGTGTAAAATGTAGTTTCGTGACCTTCATTAAAATTCTTAAGACGTCTTACCGTCTCGATTACAGATAGCTGTTAACGCTGAGCAGCGTTGATCGGGAAAGCAGTAGCAGCAGCCATGTCGTAGGAGCACCCGCATTGGAGCGAACCCGCCTGCGGTGGACTTGTTCCTGATCAGTTTGTTACAATAAGCGCAGCTAGGAAAGCCCTCCTTAGATGAGATGTGTAGGAGCGTATGGAACTGTAAGCAGCAACCTCTGGTCGCTCTTCATTCTCCAGGATAGTGGGGGACTACAGATTGGGTTTCCTCATCCGAGAAGATGACCTTAATACGTTCCCTGTCCCGTGTTTTTTCGACGGTTTCGTGATCGCCTACAACGAGACGTGTTCAGGAAAGCTAGACAAAGGAAAGGAAACTCGACAAGCCGCATTTTTGGCAAGAGTGGAAGGTTAAGGCGTTCTCGGCATCCTTTCTAAGCTTAGCTTCATTAAGCGATAACCTCAATAAAAGTACCTTGCGTTAGATAGGTAAAAGCGCAAACTGAAGCATCAGATAAAGGTGTTTTTTTTTTTTTCAATGAGAACCGGCTGGTATTTTAAATAAGTGCTTTTAAAACAAATTTCATTCGTATAATAGTGCTTGCTTTGCGTTAATCGATGCGACCCATACGGCGCTTTTCCGCTTGTATGGCTTCTCATGGCGGCACCTGAAGAATCATTCTTAGAGAGCAAATAGAGAAAAAAATTTTTAAAAAGTTGAGGTAAATGTTCGTATTCCATGTAGAGAGTTGAACCGTAAATATTCATTAAGTTGAGAATTTAGAGTAAGTTGAATTGGAAGTAAACCGCTTTGTTTCGCCCTTCAGTAGGGCAAAAAAATATCAAAGCAATCCACATATGAGAGAATAATCCATCAGTAACTGTCCATAAATTAGTGACTGAATCATTAATTTGCTTGTTATATGATCTACGCGATATGTATATAAACCGGATGCTATTCAGAGAGCCCAAAGCCGATGGCCATCTCAAATTTAAAATTAAAACTACAAGCCACTAATTAGGCTAACGACTATATATTTATGATAGATCTTTCAAACGATTTACGCTCTTTACTGGTAGTATAAGCACGGGTTGAGTCGTTCCCGTCGTGCGGGGGGTTCTGTGCAATAAAAAAAAATTTTAATTGCTTTAGTAGAGGAGTCGACCATCTGAGTGGTCTGACGCTGCTACTACAGCGGCTGGTAGTTAGCACTTAGTGGATCATTTACTATTTTATGCTGCTTTGCAGCACGCATCGGTGTCTCGAGGCGAAAAAGCCCCGGCAAGTAAGCAGCAAGCTGCGTGTGACCGTGTGTGTATGTTTGAAATAGGGGTTACCTCTATTGCATTCGGAATCAACCTCACCGTACCCTCATCTAACACCTGCACCCTCTACCCTAGGGAAAACACAGTTCACCATTATAGCCTATTACAACCTTGCAGAGGGCGGTTCATCGGGCCTACTCGCCAGCTTACATCCCCCTTTTTTTCGTCCATTCCATTCTTCGCCACAGATGATGGTCGTCGTCGTCGTCGTCGTCGTCGTCGTCGTGTTGAGGGTGCGCTATTGCCTTTCAGCGTACATGTGCGTGTTGCTTTTTTGCATCGACCCAACCACAACGGCCAACGCTGCTATGCACCTCGAGTCCCATACACCTAAATGAGACAACATAGAATGAGCTATCGTATCGGTGTGTACACACGATGAGGCGCGATTTTCGTAGTGCATTATTTACCACTGCTTCTACTACTCTTACAGTCGCTAGTAGTGATGCAGTAGGAAGTCTCGGGTAGGTCTAGCATGAAGACATCCATACCATAATAAAGGGCAATCATGATTAAAACCAGGCGCCAGGGAATTCGAGGTGATCTGGGGATCGACCGCTGAATAACTAATAAAGGATTTTTATTTTTTCAGACTATTTGAGGTGGAATATAGATATTATGGGGGATAAGTATTAATTTCGTATTGCGTCAATGATGGGCTTATTCCTGGAACATACCTAACAGAACTGAGCGGTATGCGTAACGCTTAACTGCATTTTCAGTAACTTCAGTCAAAACTCATGAAGTCATTTTGAACGTCGATCCTGTTTTAATGGTCTCCAAAAGCAGTGAGCTCTCTCGATGATCCCCCTCTACGATAGATGTAAATAGACAATGCGCTGATGATCACAAAGACAGCATCCATCGACAGTATTACTAGGTTGGTCAAACCTGTATTATAGCGTCCAAAGCAAGCACTAAAGCTCAACTAGAGAATGAGGTATGTATATAACCACTATTATAATAATGTTAACTTCGTTGAGAGCGAAGAGTCAATTTTTAACTTTGTTACTCGTGTACAATGTTACCCTAAAGTTAGCCGGTGCTCGAGGAGGAATTCAGTCAGCAAGTTTGATGAACGTACGATCAAGCGTCTAAGTGCTAACATTTCTGCTGATTGCATTCGGTTTGCGAACGCGCGTGCGTGCGTGCGTGCGTGCGTGCGTGTGTGTGTATAAGCCCTATTGGAGCCAGGAAGAGGCTAAGGGGTACGCTAGGCAAAAAGCTGTTGACTCAGAATTGGTAGCACAGTGCAAATGCTTCTATGTAAAAAAGTGTGAAGATGGGGCAAAGCGTCAATCGCCAACGAATCGTTGAGTTTATTTGGTGGGAGAGAAGCATCAATTGCATTGGGCTCGAGGTCGAAGGAAAACAAAGAAATGAGAGACAACCGTAGGAGTTCATATATGAAAACCTGACCACCGGTCGCATCTCTCAATGCGCGAGTGTGTATAGTATCCAGCCTGTGCCGATAGTTTAGCGATCACAGACGTGCAGCACTTGCTTCCTTATTTTTAGTGAGAACCGATCAAATAATAGATTGTTTTTTTGTTTATTTCAAAGGATAGGGATAGCGTTAGGCAGGTATTCGCGACAAACAAAGATATCTATCGTTCAGCATATTTTCATTAGACCTTTTTTGTCGTGACGGATTTTTACAGTTGTAAAAAATTCGTGCCACGAAAAATTGTACGTGACGAAAACGAAAAAAGGAGAACGTTAGGAAATAATCAATTCAATCCCAATTCATACAATGGCTAGGTTGTTTCGCTGAGGATTTTCCAAAAAGGTTAAAGTGTAATATTTAGACGAGCATTACGTTGATTTATCGGCATTGATAAGCTTGTCGATCTCCAAAAATAGTGATGCTTTCCTTTTTAAAGTAGATGGTACCTTTTGATATCTAAGACAGAAAATTCATTTGCTCTTCGTCAACGGGCATTTACTTTGCAAACAAGCAGTTTGGCAGGCAATACATTACGCTTATCTTAAGATTAAGCTCTTTTCGTAGAAATAAGTGATCCGTGAAAAACGACGCGATTCGGTGACCGAGGCACGAAGTAAACGAGATGGTCTAAACAAAAAGGTCACTTTACTCTTCCTGCAGAGCTAAATAGAATTTTCCTAGCTCCCGCCTTCACTATAAATAGCGTAACGTAACGCCCAACAATAAATTTAATGATAATTTTCGTCTCGTTGTTGCCTTTTCCGCATCTAAGACGCTAACTTTCCTCGATAACGAGTGCTTCCACCGAGCAAACAGTGGTCAATGTAAACCGCCCTCCAATAGCGTCAATAGTTAATAACGTTAGGGCAATTCGATAAACTTGCAAACGTTTGGGTGCAGGTAAAAAAAAATCAAAAGAAGTTTAGATAACAATGTAACTCTTGCTAGCTTCATCGCGTCATGTGGACGTACGCCGACCGCGACCTCGTGCAATATTTCAGAAAGGTATACTTCTAGCTACGAGGTTGTGTAAAGGCAAACACAAAAGGAAACAAAGTTCGGCCTCCAGTCAGACGTGTACTTCAAATAGTTGATGCCTGTGCTATCAGTGCTCGTTGTGAAGTTATCTCCTCCTATTGATATATTCATTTTATCAATACTGTACAGAATAACAGCTAGAGTTTCTATCATGTGACTTTTAAATAAGCTTATAGATAAGCACGCGTCGCCGTATTCGCCAAGTGTCCGTCCCGGAGTGACGCGCGAGACGCACTATCAACAGTAAAAATCATACTCCAATTATGTTAATAACAGAAAAGACGCCTAGATCCAAAATTTGTGTCATATGGTTATATAACGGCACTTGGGAAGGGGCCAGACTCATTACGACGAGGACATATTTAATATCGGCTGTTCACTTCCAACTATCAGGCGTCGGCAAACATATTAAACTCGATCTCGATGTCTTCGTCACAATTTGCATATAATTTTGTCTTCTTTCCAATCACCGTACCGCGCCTGCTGTCTCCGAGGCTATCGATGAAATATGTACGACATATGGGTACGTACGTGCGAATACACGCATATATATATATATACCGCCAGACGGTACCTTTTGCTTAATCGTATCGGCGACATTTCTCCACCTGGCGTCATTTGAGTGAAAGTTACCATAACCGCCTTACCAGGCCTTCCCTATCACCAGATATTATAAGTGAACAGGTAAAAATATGAGTATTTATTTCGGACAGAGATGTAACGTCAGATTCCTGGGATAGACGAAACGGGTAAGAAGCGATCCTTGTCAGCGTATTGAAAAGAAAACCACCGTGAGTTCATATTTTTGATAATAGAAGTTGTTATGAGTGTTTTTAGAGTAACACACCGCGGTATGAAGAATAATGTATGTTGTAAGGCGCAGTATATAGAACGACTCGTACGACCTCGTTCTTGATTGTAATCGCCTTCGATCAGGTCTTAGACTTACTTTCTGAGACATGTGAAGTTGGTTCAGTCACTAAAGATTGCCAACGGCTTCTTTTTACCATAGAGGACATTTTTGGAATTGCCATCATAGAGGACATTGTACGTAAGCAAGCTGATTTGCTCGAATACTACCGATAATTCAATCACGAAGTAAAGAGCAGGCGTTCCAATCGGCAGGCAACACCTTTGCTAGGACGCTTCTTTGCCCTATCGGGGCTTTTTCTTCTTGTTTCGATAGCGTCTGCGGTGGTTCTTGCAGACCTTCCACTCGTGCTTCACAGTCTTTTTACCCAGCGACTCAAGAAAGAACCCACTGAATCGGAAGTCCCCGGCTTTCTGACCGACTCTGTGTAAGTCTACTTCACCTATGAGCACCTTAACAGTCGTCCATTCTTAGGGTTGTTTACTCATGGACTTTAATTCAATGAGGGTGTTGGCCCGCCATCTTGTATTGTCTCCTATAACGTGCACCAGTAGTAAGTTCACTGTCAATCAAGACGAGCCAATAATGAGCCACGAATAAAATATTAAAACGCAAGTCAAATATCTGTGGTGATCAACGTGTATTTGCTAACACGTTCCTTCTTTAAGGTCAACACAACTGGCGATCAAATAGATTTGGTTGTTTTTTAAATTTATTTTATTCGCCCAAGAATAATATAGAAGCTGCATTTTCTTTTGGAACAAGGAATATCGATAATAATGCGAAATAGAAACAACTCGCGTCTGACCTGCTATCATCAACGTAACGGCAATTGGGATCAGGGAACTGAATCTAGCGTTTGTAAGATTGGCAGAGGTGCTCGCTTCTGAAGTGTCTTTCGGTCGTCACCTGCTCGAGGTGGTGGGATACGGGAATTGGCAACGGGGTTCAGTCGCGCGTGACCTTAAAATGTTCGCTCCTCACGACCCTTCGGTTAGCCCCAAGAAAAGTTTACCTCTTCGTATGGTTCTGCTTAGGGCAAAAGAGAGATAAGCCTTGCTAGTAAAAAGGCCATTTCAGCGCCCGGTTTGTTCTTTTACACACGAACATATCTGATGGCTGGGTCTTAAGACAAAAATGTTTTGAACTGTTATTTTTGACGCCTCGAGCTACACTAAACAGCTTGGAGAGGTTGACTATGCTTACAGGAGTGGCAAACGTATTTCATTTATACTGAACACAGCCAATCTAAGAGACAAGGTTACTATATAAAATTCCTAATGTGTATATATATATTGACACCAACATTTTCTCAGATAGACATAGCATGTTTTGCTTAAAGATCGCGTTTTGACTTGACAATTGAGCGAATAAGAACCTTGTTCCTGCGTTTTTTATATTGACTCATCAAGTTTTTTTGGATACGCATGGCTTTTCAGCTTCGCGTACGTGTAAATGTGTATATTTATTCTACTTATGGCTGCTAGATAAACAGTTATTTTTTGTTGTTGCATAGTTCATGGTTGATGTCAATATTTATCAGACTTGAGTTTACCCCTGAAATTGTCACTTATTCACAACTGAATCTCATATTTTCGCTAACGGCAAATATTTGTCTTTTTCTTTTATGCAATCACTTGAATAAGTTGAGCTGTATAAACTTGCGCCTGAATGACTCCAACTGCAATCGAATCGCACAAGCTAACTTGAAATTTGCTGACTATGACCGCGAATCGACCGGGTTCAGTGCTCAGGAAATCACATAATCAGTCTGCTGCAACGTTTACTTATCGGCAGAATTCGTGTCTCACAAAGCAAAACGCCATTAAGTTAAGTAAGCCTAGCTCGTCCCGTACTAACTTTGCGGAGTCAAACGTGGACTCAGACGTAGTCCGAATTTTCCATGTAGTCTACAATGAAAGTATACAGTTTGATTTACCCGATTCTGAAAAAAGGAAAAAGCACAGTACCCAA